TAAAAGCAAACATACATGGTTTAGGTAAATTTTATCATCAAAAATGAATTTAGCTTACGAAAATTACCATTTCCTATCAATTTCAAGAATTAAAGAAAATGTTGGGATGGCAACTTATTATTTACATTAAAATTAGTACATTGTTATACTTCAGAACCCTTCAAATATACACAGTAAAAAAAATATTATCAAAGATGGATTCACCATGCCACAATTACCTAAACATATAAATTTCATCAATGTTAGACAATAATGTATGAGATTTTGTCCGACTTTTGTATGTGGGCTCGCCATTGTGCTATGCGCCTACATAGGGTTATCTACCCCATTGTCGGCCTATTAGTCTTACTTAATCTAGCGCAGTTTAGCACCAAACGGAATGTTATTATTACTGATGATTCGGTCGGAGCGCTTCTTTTTTTCGGGAATAATGGGTGCAAATCTTCATATCACGCGTTCTCATTGACTTCATTCCGTAGCTTATTAACTAAAGTATCGTACCAAACGCTTAATTGGTTTGTTAACTCTGAAATCATGCATTTATTTGAAGTTTTCTGCTCGATAGCCCCAACATGGGCGAATTAGGCCGAAGTAGTTCTCTACCCTATATAATCTTTCCTAATTGAAAGCTTAGGTATAAGGTTGGTATAAGTTATGCTTATGGCATGACTCAGCGGCACTAACCGTGCAAAAAACAACCGTGTAAAAATAACCGTAGCCGTAAAATCAGATCGTAATCTGTGTCTGCTGGTTTCTGCAAAGGACCATCCATAAATGACTTAGCAATATTGGACCAGCTTTAGACCTTCCCCCCTCGTATCGTACTACATAGATCCTAAAAGAATGCATAAACGGTATCTGTGACCATTTATAAGTTTCATTAGTTTCAGTATTTGACACATGATCTTCATTAAGGTTTTGCAAGGTGTCTGCTTTTTAGTTGTCTAATACAATATATTATAATATGAATAATCAGCAATAGAAATTTTCTAAAAGTTATAAGGGGGTTCATTCCGGCTGCCACCTTAGGAATAGCATCCGGGGAAGAGCATTTCTTATTCAGCCGCTGGATGCCAGTTAAAAGCTATTTGGGCCGCACCTTTATGGTGTTCAGACGCTCGGGTTGGCGAAGCATTTCTTCTACGACCATGGTATGATTACCGTGACATTTCAACATAAGACCATACTTTTTTTGTCAAAGTTGTTCGCCGTAAAATTGACTTTCTATTGTACAAGATTGATAATAATATTATGTTTGACACATTTTTTTTTGTTTTGTTTCCTTGATTTGTTTTTCTGTCGATCTTGTTTTCCGTGCTGAGTACCAATGCTACCGACGCCAGGGAGGCAGCTCACACACCTTGGACCCTACCTATCGACCCATCAACCCATGAACCGGGGACCAACAGCTTTACTTCCCTTGTGAAGAAAGACGTGATCAGAGATGTTATGCGTCAGAACATCCCGACGGCGCCGACTAGGATTGAACTCAGGCCCTACTGGGGTGAGAGGTAATCACGCTTACCACCACACCACACCATACCCACTTTTGTAGATTAAATGCCATTACACAAAACAATCTGTGCAAATTTTTTGCTTATAGTTTGAACCCTAAGGAATCTGTAATACAAATTAAAAGGGTTAGTTTTAATATGATTTTAAAGAATTAGAAATATGCTTTTGTGATAAGCAAAGAAAAAGGGACTTTTTCCAAAAAAACTCAATGTTGTAACCTCTAAACAACATTTCCCATAGTTGCCGTCATACAAAAGTTTGTTTGTAACACCCTAAGCTATCATTTGGAGGGTGCGCTCCTAGGTTTCATGACAAAAAGCAATTTTGGGACACCCTAATGGTCATTATCGGAGTCATTGCTTAATTTTGTTGCTAAGGAATCCAATTTTATCTGACAAAGAGGCATGCCTTTGGAGGGTGCTTTTCGAAGGATATAAATAGCAGACCTTTCAATTAAAATTGAATCCTTGCGTTGAATATAAGAATGACCTATGTATCAAAACCGGATATGTACTCCATCATTTCTCAATACTGACGGAGTAATACGACATGCACTAAACTAAGAAAACGGGATATACTACACAGATAAAAATTCTGAATTTAAATTATGATGTAAACATTCATTCACGTAGACTTGTATTTGATTTCATGCAACCGAGCAACTTGAAAACAATGTTGTTTACAAAGATGGGCTTTTGTATACAATATTTGCTACATTGCATGAAATGTGTCAGAACTTTACATGATAAATAATGTAAACGTATATGATATGTGAGGCTCCATTTATGTGCATCATATTGAACAGAAATTTACTCTACTTTTTCGAACTGTGTACAATATATCAAATTAAATTTTATGTCCCTAACAGAGTGTCCCATTCCCACTGGGAACGGGAATGACTCTGATGAAGACTGCACATTGTAGTCGAAATACGTATCTGTCATGGATACCAAAATTAATTAAGTGGAATTAAATGGAAGATAACCCTTTTTTGCTGTTTTATTTAAGCATTCCGCTAACAACCCAATTTCATTACTTCAACATAATTTGGGGTTTAACTTAAAATAAAACGTGAAATCTTATCAATCATATGACAAAGAATCAATGTTCTTTAAATATTTGGTTTCTGCCAGGCTTTTTCAAATATGGGTCTGTGCCTCGTGGGTATTTTACAAACATATCAATAGCTTATTCAGTTCACCAGCTAAACGGAAAAGTGGATCATATTATTAATACTATACAGGGTAGGTGTACCTGTTGCGACTATACGTTCCTATAATGGTGTGTTCCAATTATGGCCTATGGAATTTCCATAGGCCCTAATTGGAACACACTTTAATAGGAACGTATAGCCATAACTGTTACACCTACTCTACCAACTTGACGTGTGCTCTGATTCACATACCGTTATTTCTTTAAAGAGCTATTGTATGCTATGTCCCACATGCAGCTATTTTTTGAAGTGCTATTGTGAAGCAATTACAGTCATTATATGGCACGTGTGTATGCAAAGGACAAGCATATTCAATCACGATTGCCTACAAAACGTTCAATTGTAGGCCAAGATAACAGCTTCGGTAGTGATCGGGAGGAGATACACACTGCAACCTGGTCGTAAACTGTTCTTCGACTGGTTGTCGAATCTCCTTTCAACCGTCAACCGCCCGTTATTCGTCAACCGAGCAAACGTTTCGCAACCGCACTACACACAATCCAATCTGCTATTCGACTTATACGTCAACCTGTAGACCAACCCATTTATAATACACGCGATGTTTGTGCGACTTTCCCATACACCAGGTTTGCAGACTTAGATTTCACCCACCTTAAATCAAAACGTTTAGATTTTAATTCAACCGATTGACCAACTGTCATCAACCCAACTTAGATTGCAGTATCTATGAGCCCCAAAAGGTGTACCAAACCGAACCGACCTGGGTCTTACTTGATTTTTGATGCTGAAATTTGAATTTTTTTCCTTTCCTATATATTTGTGCACCAATTTTTTTTAATAGAAATTTAGAGATGCTTTTAGATAATTTCTTGAATTTTGTTTTTTTTTTTTATTAATTACTTTATTTGTACAGGCTTAATCGAATAAACTTTACAGAGCCGAGTTATCATTTTTGTTATACATTATTGATGTCTTATATTTAAAGTTAAAGGAGCTGGACCGGATACTCGCGGTTGTCTCGAGGTTAGTGGAGATTTACAATTTTTTTTGATGGGAAAAGGGAGAGGGAGGTTTGAAATGTGGTTTACGATACAAATATTTAATTAATCCTAAAACATGAACTAATTTCTATTCATCTTGAAAACAAACATAAAAAAACCCGAACGTACAAAATACAAACTAAACTTGCAGGTCGACCCCTTTGGGCCCTGTCATAGACACTACGCCGTCATCTGCAAGTTGTCTCAACGTGCAGTTGTCACTTAGACAATTGTCAATTTCTCTGACGTAGAAATTATACAAAAGGGGGCTTTCTTGAATTTTGTGTAATTTAACGTTTTTCAGTGTTCTAATCAAAATTTGGTATAGGATGTCAGAACATTAAATTATTTGGCCCCGAAGTTAGTGAAGCATAAAACCACAGAATAATGTTTTAAATCCCAAACTAATGGAAGAACAAAGACCACCTCACCCACCGTAACTGCATTCGTGTCTCGGACGCAACCCCTATTTTTTCAATTGGAAGATTGCCGTAAAAGCTCAACGCAGATGTCGCCACTGCATGATGATGATAATGTTGACAGACTGCATATAAAATTCGTGAAAATTAGCGTTAAATCATAATTTTCATCAAGCCTGTGTAAAATTCTTCCAATATAACATTCGAATTGCAGAAGAAAACGTTTTTACGATCAGACTGATGTGCAACTTTGACTTTTCCAGTTGAACTTTCATAAGATATATTCATTTCATTTCGCGGCTCCAACAATGCTGCATCGTAAATATGATGTAAACAGAAGTAAATTGCTCAATTACTCAAAATAGAGATGATTTGTCATCTTGCTATCACTTTGAAGACCATCTAGCACCATTTTATAGTATGGTGCGTGTTGAGTAAAGCAAGTTCCGTTGCGTTTTCCGTCGAAAATTGTGAGCATCAATATGTTTGCTAACAAAAGGCCAAAATGAACATTTATTGAATATTGGCGTCCTATACAACCAATCTCCATTACCACCAGCATGATACAACCTTTCCTAAGTAAATTCACTTAATTTCCACTTTCATCCTAGTGGAAATCGCACATATTCACCATTTTCCGAAAAATGCCGCTGCGCAGGAGGTAACCTCTTAATGTGGGTGCAAACTTGTTATGCATAATTTTCCATGAAAACATCTCCGATCCATACCGAAATAATAACAGTTAGTTTGCAAACACATTTTCTTACACGATTCAAGCAAAAGTTTCCACGGGAAATTAATAGTTTTTCTTTATTACCGATTTGCCCCAAAAATCGTCTGTTTTACTTGAAGAATTTGGAAACTATCAAGAGGTGGCAATACAAATATTGGAGGAGTTTCCTCATTTGGAAAAAACTCGAATCTCGGAAAAGGCACCAAAGGAGGTGAGTTCGAAGACACATAATTGATGTTGTACAGGGCTAAAACCGGCAACTCCAATCACTGTTGACTGAAATTAAAGCGCCTATGAATGAATGACTTCTTTATTACAGTCCTACTTCTTTTGGCACAACGGAGGTTTGGGCAAAGGACCTCACACAGGCCTGATCGAAACGAGGGTAAGCAACATACGGAAGGACTTACTGCCCGAAGATAGGCTGTTTCGGCGAACTAAGAAGGACATCATTATTGTGGAGGACGAATGCGTTCGACATGCTGCACATCTTGCTGCACTTATTCCTACAGCAGCAAATGCTAGACAAATAGCGGAAGGAATGGCACAAACGAATGATTTACTAAAATTACTCCTACAGAAAAATAACATCCAAGACATTATTGAAACATTTCCTCACTTGCTTTCCTATGAGGGAGAGATGGTAAGTAGGTCTTTATTGGGTATCATAAACTAATTTTTATTAACAGTGTTTTTTTTACAGATCATACAGGCATTCGATCGAATCCAGGCAAATATTTATGTAGCTGGTGATTTGAAAACACTACTTCGCGTAGGACTGCTCTTCGACACTACTAGCTGGAATATGGTAGAAGATGGTAAGAAAGCTAATTATTATATCGCACGTTAAAATTATATATTTCTATTTTTCCTTATTCAGATTTTGTCAGAGGAGCTTTGAGGCTGATGAAAAAGCTGTCAAATAAAGGCATCAAGCGAACCATAATTATGGAAAATGCTAGCATGGAGGAAATTACCGCTGCACCGTTGATTAGATGGACTAAATACACGCAAACAGACATTGGATTTGATGAGAAGCTTGCGGTGAAACAATCATCCGCAACAGTTGTTGGACCACTTATCATCTGCGTAGCTGATCGATACAAACAAGGCAATATGTACGTTGTCTTCAATCAAAACGTCATTCCTTGTGGCGATTCAAGCACACGGGCTATCGAGATTTTGTTCAAATCGTTTGCTGTGCTTGGCTTGAAAGTACCAATGTTGCTCCGGAAACTCAATGACATGATATCGGTAAATGTCTGGGGAACGAAACATTACAGTAAATGTAAATCCGTCACAGAGCTAACTTTGCGATACAAGGAATTTTTGAATAATTCAACAGTCGAATGAAATGTGAAAAATTTTGTATATTGATTTGGTCAATAAAAATTGATTTTCAGTGGTCAATTAAAACTTTTATAAACTGTATTTTTATTTGTTTGATGATTGAAACAGCTTCTTTTTCCGTTAGGTTCTTCTTCATTGTCTGAAGAAATTATTACAGATTTATATATATCGTAAATTCAATGAAAACGTCACCTATTGATCTTTTTTACCACCTATATTTGCTGGCTTTATTTGGCTGGATCTTCTCCGAATCTCTTTTACCTACCGGTAAGTTAATTTTACGCAACGGTGGCTTTTTTGGGACTGCATCAATTTACCTAGCAGGAAGTTTCGCCAATTTACCCAAAATTAGGTATATCTACTTTTACCCAAATTTACCTTATTGAACGATAGTACAAGGTTGAGTCAAAAGAAGCCAATTTTGGGTAGTTTTTCATTTCCGTGGAAATTTACTCTACTTTTTCGAACTGTGTACAATATATCAAATTAAATTTTATGTCCCTAACAGAGTGTCCCATTCCCACTGGGAACGGGAATGACTCTGATGAAGACTGCACATTGTAGTCGAAATACGTATCTGTCATGGATACCAAAATTAATTAAGTGGAATTAAATGGAAGATAACCCTTTTTTGCTGTTTTATTTAAGCATTCCGCTAACAACCCAATTTCATTACTTCAACATAATTTGGGGTTTAACTTAAAATAAAACGTGAAATCTTATCAATCATATGACAAAGAATCAATGTTCTTTAAATATTTGGTTTCTGCCAGGCTTTTTCAAATATGGGTCTGTGCCTCGTGGGTATTTTACAAACATATCAATAGCTTATTCAGTTCACCAGCTAAACGGAAAAGTGGATCATATTATTAATACTATACAGGGTAGGTGTACCTGTTGCGACTATACGTTCCTATAATGGTGTGTTCCAATTATGGCCTATGGAATTTCCATAGGCCCTAATTGGAACACACTTTAATAGGAACGTATAGCCATAACTGTTACACCTACTCTACCAACTTGACGTGTGCTCTGATTCACATACCGTTATTTCTTTAAAGAGCTATTGTATGCTATGTCCCACATGCAGCTATTTTTTGAAGTGCTATTGTGAAGCAATTACAGTCATTATATGGCACGTGTGTATGCAAAGGACAAGCATATTCAATCACGATTGCCTACAAAACGTTCAATTGTAGGCCAAGATAACAGCTTCGGTAGTGATCGGGAGGAGATACACACTGCAACCTGGTCGTAAACTGTTCTTCGACTGGTTGTCGAATCTCCTTTCAACCGTCAACCGCCCGTTATTCGTCAACCGAGCAAACGTTTCGCAACCGCACTACACACAATCCAATCTGCTATTCGACTTATACGTCAACCTGTAGACCAACCCATTTATAATACACGCGATGTTTGTGCGACTTTCCCATACACCAGGTTTGCAGACTTAGATTTCACCCACCTTAAATCAAAACGTTTAGATTTTAATTCAACCGATTGACCAACTGTCATCAACCCAACTTAGATTGCAGTATCTATGAGCCCCAAAAGGTGTACCAAACCGAACCGACCTGGGTCTTACTTGATTTTTGATGCTGAAATTTGAATTTTTTTCCTTTCCTATATATTTGTGCACCAATTTTTTTTAATAGAAATTTAGAGATGCTTTTAGATAATTTCTTGAATTTTGTTTTTTTTTTTTATTAATTACTTTATTTGTACAGGCTTAATCGAATAAACTTTACAGAGCCGAGTTATCATTTTTGTTATACATTATTGATGTCTTATATTTAAAGTTAAAGGAGCTGGACCGGATACTCGCGGTTGTCTCGAGGTTAGTGGAGATTTACAATTTTTTTTGATGGGAAAAGGGAGAGGGAGGTTTGAAATGTGGTTTACGATACAAATATTTAATTAATCCTAAAACATGAACTAATTTCTATTCATCTTGAAAACAAACATAAAAAAACCCGAACGTACAAAATACAAACTAAACTTGCAGGTCGACCCCTTTGGGCCCTGTCATAGACACTACGCCGTCATCTGCAAGTTGTCTCAACGTGCAGTTGTCACTTAGACAATTGTCAATTTCTCTGACGTAGAAATTATACAAAAGGGGGCTTTCTTGAATTTTGTGTAATTTAACGTTTTTCAGTGTTCTAATCAAAATTTGGTATAGGATGTCAGAACATTAAATTATTTGGCCCCGAAGTTAGTGAAGCATAAAACCACAGAATAATGTTTTAAATCCCAAACTAATGGAAGAACAAAGACCACCTCACCCACCGTAACTGCATTCGTGTCTCGGACGCAACCCCTATTTTTTCAATTGGAAGATTGCCGTAAAAGCTCAACGCAGATGTCGCCACTGCATGATGATGATAATGTTGACAGACTGCATATAAAATTCGTGAAAATTAGCGTTAAATCATAATTTTCATCAAGCCTGTGTAAAATTCTTCCAATATAACATTCGAATTGCAGAAGAAAACGTTTTTACGATCAGACTGATGTGCAACTTTGACTTTTCCAGTTGAACTTTCATAAGATATATTCATTTCATTTCGCGGCTCCAACAATGCTGCATCGTAAATATGATGTAAACAGAAGTAAATTGCTCAATTACTCAAAATAGAGATGATTTGTCATCTTGCTATCACTTTGAAGACCATCTAGCACCATTTTATAGTATGGTGCGTGTTGAGTAAAGCAAGTTCCGTTGCGTTTTCCGTCGAAAATTGTGAGCATCAATATGTTTGCTAACAAAAGGCCAAAATGAACATTTATTGAATATTGGCGTCCTATACAACCAATCTCCATTACCACCAGCATGATACAACCTTTCCTAAGTAAATTCACTTAATTTCCACTTTCATCCTAGTGGAAATCGCACATATTCACCATTTTCCGAAAAATGCCGCTGCGCAGGAGGTAACCTCTTAATGTGGGTGCAAACTTGTTATGCATAATTTTCCATGAAAACATCTCCGATCCATACCGAAATAATAACAGTTAGTTTGCAAACACATTTTCTTACACGATTCAAGCAAAAGTTTCCACGGGAAATTAATAGTTTTTCTTTATTACCGATTTGCCCCAAAAATCGTCTGTTTTACTTGAAGAATTTGGAAACTATCCTCCTTCTAGTAGTTCTCACTTCGAAATGTAGGTGGTGAAAGCATGGAAAAGTTTCACTGCAAGATGCCAATCGATATTTATGTCCCTAACTGAAACCCGTATCCAACAAGCAGTCTTTCTCCGGTTAAGCTACTTCGCTAGCATGAGTCGGGTATTTTCAAAACGCGACAGCAGAGAGACTGTCAGTCCGATCAATCTTATACACTGATAAATTGAAGTATTCCCATTTTGCTTGAAATTTAATCAATTTGACATTAAACTCAGTTTAATCATATCGAATGATTAAACATTAATCCTCTCTTTCTAAAAAATAAGCATCTGATATTAATCCCAGTTTAATCATGGTTGATTAGTTTGTAGATAATCTTTTCTTGAATAAATTTTAATCATTTTTTATTCTATTTTAATAATTTTTTATTGAATTTTAATCTTTTTTGCTTATATATCAGTATTGAAAAAGAATTAAATTTAATACCGGAAAGATTATTTCGAATTTAATCATGCATGACTAGTGCCGAAGTAATCATGGCTCGGACTCAATAAGGTGAAGCGGGAAACTGCATACTTTTTAAGCTTTTTTGATTTAATTTATCTTTGAGTGTACGGTTCTGGTAAAGGTCCACAATAAATTACATTGAATTGGTGTGCGTAAGTAAACCAATTATAGTGACGTTTTAATGCATTAAATGCTCTAACTAAAATGTATTTAAACTGCACGTATCGCCAACAGTCCATTGTACGACTCAACAGGAGCTACACAGCCTGACACAACTGATATTTAATATAGGTACCTACATAGAATAAACATGAATAAACCCTTCCCATATATTTGTTAACAACAAGGCCCGTAACTGTCAAAATATCATACAAAATTAAAACAAAGATTGCACCGTGCAGTTACATTGCATACATAAGACTACTGTAGTTTTTTTTTTGTTAAAATGATAATAATAGTATACAACCTTGGCCCACCTGACGCATTTGTTTCGTTAGTTGGGTCAACTGAAAGAAGGCTAAAATTTGTTGGCGGGTGTGTGCATCCTTTGTTGTGGTTGAGAAGATTACTCAAAATGCAGATCCAATTCCACATTTTAAAAAACAAATACTTAAAAAGAGAATCTCTTTTTAAGTATTTTTCTATCTGATAGATAAAAAATACAGCAAAAATTAGGCAATGTTAACCCGAAAAAAAAATAATAAAACAACGAAATTACAATGATTTTTACTGGTGAATTTCGAGTACATTAAAATTTATTGTTAAGTTGTTGTACGGGAGAAAAGTTAATTTCTATTTTTAACGTTACAATGCTCAAACCATGAAAATTAGTGTGATGAGATCAAATTTGTTTTTATTATTATTAAGATGCTTAACAACCCCCCTTTTTACTGTAAATGATTTTGATTGTTGTGAACCATGAATTTCGTTGTGATTTTATGGTAATCAACTAAAATGTTCAATGTTTTGACAGTAAATATCATGGTCACAATGACAATGCAAAACATTGTATTTTTATTGGATTTTTTACGGGTATACATTGATTAGATTAGAAGTAAACTTCAACATTTTACTAACTCTGAATAACGGCGTGGAATTCGTTCAGTTTATACCACTTGTTTTTGTTGGGAAGTTAAGCGTGAAAAAAAAGTACAAACTTTTGAAATTAGGAAAGTTCAAAATTCTTTCGACAGCAAGACAGTGAAATCTTTTGTAAGTGGATTCAAACTGGCCAAGGTAATAGCAAGTCATTCGAGTACTTCTCTATCCGATGCAGATGGACAATCTAATGATGGACAAGGGTGAAGTGAAGAATCATTTCGACGCAAATTTGACCGGGCACATTTACCACCGAGACTGCCATCTC